GGATCCCTCGAAGGGACCTCTCAAGTAACCCATCATGTCCTCTAAACCCCAAACCTTTAAAAACCTTAAACCCCAGACCCCCTAAATCCCAAAGCTAAAGCCCCTAACTCCTAAAACCTTAAGCCTTACCTAAACCCTAACCCCTTTAACCCTCAACCCTGAAACCCCCCTAAACCCTGAAACCCCCCTGAACCCCCAGAACCCTTACAGTAACCCTTCTAGATCCCTTCAAGGAACCCTGGAAGGATCCCATAAAGGAACCCTAAAACCCCCCTGAACCCTAAAACCCTTAACCCCAAAACCGCTCCTAAACCCTAAACCCTAAGCCCTAAAGCCTAAACCCTAAGCCCTAAAACCCCCGCCTAAGCCTTCAGCCCCTATACCCGACAGATCCCTTATTACAGAGCCCTTCAAGGAGCCCTTAAGGAAACCCTAAAGGATCCCTTAAAGGAGTCCTACACACCTAAGGAAACCTTCGATCTCTCCGATTTCTGAGGCTTCGACCCAACGGGTCAGAAGGCTCCGGTGCGCTCAGGAGGGCCTTTTGAGGAGTTAGGATCTGGGGATTTGGGAGTTTCCGAAAATAGGGGACCCTAGGGTTCCTTTAACGGGTTCCTTAGAGGGTTCTCCAAGGGTTCCATAAAGGGTTTAGGGTTTATGGGAGTTTCCGAAAATAGGGGACCCTAATCTGGTACCCCAAATAGTATTATCTTTATTATAAGGACCCCAAAATAAGGTACCCCTAATTGTCGGAAACTCCCATTTAGGTATTTAGGGGTTTAGTGTTTGTAGAAATTGTCCAGGGTTTGGCGGGTTTAGGGTTTATAGGCTTTAGGTATTTAAGGGTTTAGGGTTTATAGAAATTGTCCAGGGTTTGGGGGGTTTAGGGTTTATAGGCTTTAGGTATTTAAGGGTTTAGGGTTTATAGAAATTGTCCAGGGTTTGGGGGGTTTAGGGTTTATAGGCTTTAGGTATTCAGGGGTTTAGGGTTTATAGAAATTGTCCAGCGTTTGGGGGGTTTAGGGTTTATAGGCTTTAGGTATTTAGGGGTTTAGGGTTTATAGAAATTGTCCAGCGTTTGGGGGGGTTTGGGGTTTATAGGCTTAAGGTATTTAGGGGTTTAGGGTTTATAGAAATTGTCCAGCGTTTGGGGGGTTTAGGGTTTATAGGCTTTAGGTATTTAAGGGTTATTGTCCAGGGTTTGGGTCCGGAGTTTTGACCGAAACGCTTTGAGCGAAAGTTTCGCTGGTTGGTTTGGTACACGTTTAATGAACATTTCGAAACTAATGAAAAAGCAATTCGACGCGACATTCCACAAAATTTCCATTTGTGCTGCTCTTGATGGTTTAGGGTTTAGGGCTTTAGTGGTTTAGGATTTAGTTTAGGGGTTTCGGCGTTAAGGATTTAGGAGTTTAAGGTTTAGGAGCTTATGGGTGTAGGTATTCGCTCGGGCTTTGCAGCTTCCTTCTGGGGTTCCTGTATTGGGTGTTCTTTTGAAGTTTCCTTTCGGGGTCTTGGCGTTCAGAATTCGGCAACCTCGTGTTGGAGGGCGGAAGATCCTAAGATCCTGCAGTTGACGAGTCATAACCTGCAAAATGGTAGAGTATTGGGTTGCAGGTACCTACCCTACACCCTGAACTGAGAGGCCCAGGGGACTTAGTAAGTCGGTTTAGGTAGGGTTATAATTAGGGTAACTCCCTTTAGGGTGACTTATAACCTGCTTACTAAGTCCCCTGGGCCTCTAAGAAACCCCATAACCCCCTGGAAACCCGGGTTGGGGGAACCTTGAATTGCTCTTGAAGGTCCTATGTCGGGAGGCCAAAGGCCATACTAGCACGCCCCATTTTGGGCTATTCTTGAGGCGCAGGTTAATGTCGAAGCTTAAAGGTTTGGTGTTTACGATTTGGGAGTTTCCGAAAATAAGGGGTTCCTTACTTTGGGGTCCTTGTAATAAGGATCCTACTATTTAATAAGGTACTATATTAGGATCTCCTATTTTCGGAAACTCTTTATTGGGGTTTAAGGTTATGGGCCATAACCTTAAACCCCAAAGTTATGGGATTGATGTTCTGGTGTTTGTACTGTGGGCTTGAGAATTGTAAGGCGGAAGGCACATAGCTACGCTGCTGGGTCTCTGGGCGGGTTCAGGGGCTTGGTGGTAGGGTTTGAATGTTCACGTCCTTGAGGGTTATGGGAGCCCGAACATACGGTTGATGATATACATCCTGCATTACCTTAAGGACCCTAAACTATAGGTATTATGGTATATTCCTTATTACGGCTCATGCAGGATTATATCATCAACCGTAGTACCCTAAAAAAAGTAAGATCCTCATTATAAGCACCCCAGAATAAGGTACCCCCTAGTTCACTTAAACCCTAAACCCTTACATATAGAGCCCTTTAAAGCAACCCTTATAGTACCCTTGTAATACCCTTTAAAGGAACCCTTATAGCCAAAGGCGAAGGGCACTGCTGGGCGCTGGATTGGGAGACTTCCAAGCGGTAGGGGTTTAGACCCCTTTGAAGGTGTGATTGTTTGGACGATCTGCATCATAGAACCCCTAAACCCTAAACCCTAAACCCTAAACCCTTAACCCTAAACCCTAAACCCTAAACCCTAAACCCTAAACTATTATTCCTAAGGACATTAATGACTAGCAGAGGCTTCAGGGTTTGGAGCTGAAGCCTTGAGACATTCAGAGGCTGACGGTTCAGTATCCTTAGGAATAATAGTTTAGGGTTTAGGGTTTAGGGTTTAGGGGTTCTATGATGCAGATCGTTAAGGGCTTCGGCTTTAGACCTAGGCCTATCAAGTGCAGCCTGAAACGTAAACCTTAGAAGCTGCCCCCACCCTGTAATAGTGACTATGAGGATTATATTAGGGCCCTATTATATTCCTATTATACCACTATTACAGGGTGGGGGCCCCCTCTAACGTAAACCCTAAGTCTTGGGATGCTTAAAAAAGGACTTGTGGGTTGGCTCTGGCTTTTGGCCTTCCTGATTTGCGACTTACCCGGAGAATCACCCAGAGATCCCGATACCCCTTAATTAAGGAATATACCTTAAATCATAATATTAAGGCCCCTGTAATTTACGGTATATTACTTAATAAAGGGGCATTGGGATCTCTGAGGATGCTCACAGCTTGGGAGCCTGTTTTGAACTTTGGCTGCCTTCTTGGAGGCTCAAATCCTCAGTACATCGGGTTTAACATCTAGGGGTTTAGGGGTTTAGGGTGGGTTTGGGGTTTAGGGTGGGTTTAGGGTTTAGGGCTTTCAGCGAAAACAACCCTTGAAACCCTTGCAACACCGACCCGGCCTGGATGCTAAGCAGTACAGTTCGAATTTGCAGCGCGGGGCTCCACTTGTCCTGGTGTAGAGATCTCACGATTCGGGGTGCGTTGGGATTCTTTTACTTAGAGGCCCAGGGGACTTAGTAAGTAGGTTGTACGTAGGGTTATAAGTACCCTAAATGGAGTTACCCCAATGATAACCCTACTTATAACCGACTTACTAAGTCCCCTGCGCCTCTAAGTAGGGCTTTACAGGGTTGCTTGCTGGTAATACCTGGTGCTATGGCCTTTTTTCCTGGGGCCTGGGGTCGGGAATTTGGGATTCAGCGCTTTGGGTGTCGGGATTCAAAAACCCTAAACCCTAAACCGAGCCCTTTTCCTGCGTTCAGTGGTTTAGGTGGCGCAGTTCTGGGTTTTAGGGAGTTCTTCGACGCCATGGCTTGGGCGAAGGGTTCAAGCTCCCAGGTTCTATCGTTTCAGGCATGTCCAAAGCCTGCCGAACCCCGAGCCCTGGAGGGAGTTTCAAAGGCAAATCCCTGAAAACCCAAACTTCTCGAGATTCCAAGATTCAGGGCATCCCCTGCCCTGCCTAAACCTTAAAGTAAAAGCCAGAAAGTTGGAATATGATTATCCTAAACCCTTTATGGTAAATTATAGGGTATCCTACCCTGAAACCATATTCCAACTTTCTGGAGTTCCCTTTAAACTCCAAATCCTCAACCGCCCTTTGCAAACCCTAAACCACCCTTGCATGGTGCTGCACTCCTTCAGAACGTCGAGGCAGATGCGACCGAGCTTGTCCTAAGTTGGGGGATATAGGGCTAGGGTGTGTAGACCTCTGGCTGAATGATCCCTCGGCAAAAGGTACTGTTTCCGCGGTTTGGGGTTTTCGGGTTTGTCGGCTTTGGGCGTTTGGGGCTTGCGGCTTTAAGATGCCCTAAACCAAAAAACCTTAAACCCCAAACCTTTCGGAGGCCTCAAAAGGTGGGATGAAGGTAGGTAGGATTAAGGATCCTACGATACCCAGTAACCTAAGAATAAAAAGGCCTCTCTTTTGGTATTGGGTAACTTTATAAGGAACCTAGGACTACAAAAAGGGAATAAGGGTACTCCTGGGCATCCTAGTATTTGGGAATATCCCACCTACCTTCATCCCACCTTTTGAAGCCTCCGAAACTTCAGGAGTACCATGGCTTTAGAGTTTTTTGGGCGCCCGAAACTTGTAAGTCTAGGCGTAAGCCTAAACCAATGGGGTTCGTGGCAGTATTATATTATACTATACTATACTATGCTATACGGTACGTACTAGATTATGCTATATATGGTTCAATGATTTTGTGATATATAGTATTAGACTAGTTTGGGGAAAGGAGACATTAATTGCAGCGCGCACTCGGCCATGCCGCAGCTTCATCCGGACTTTGCCATCATTTTCACGAGCTGCGGCCGATGAGACACGAATCCCCTGCTGGGTTCTTGTTAAGGGATTTCACTTAAGCTACCATAATAGGGATCTGTAACAAATAATGTGGCCTTCCTTGCTATGGTAACTTAAAGCAACCTTTAACAAGAACCCAGCCTGTGCCTAGCGGATCGGACATTTAAAGCGGAGCTGCAGCAGAGAAGCTGATTTTCATACTGCCAACGCTCGCTGCGGACCCCCATATTGCTTACTTAACAATCCCAAACCTCGAAACCCTGATCAAGTATAGTATGAAGAGCAAAGGCTCTCAATACCCAGCATCATGGGCAGCGGCCTGCCTGCTTTCACCGATGCTGCAAGAGGTGACTCTGCTGTAAGGCGGGTGTCGCACGTGTCCAGAGCCCACTCTTTTGAAAGGCTGCCCCAGAGAATCGAAGGAGATTGCGGTACGTCCACAACGTCTTCAACCGGATCGACGTGCAAGCTTATCGAAGAGCCTTCCTCATCGAAATTATCCCAGCCTGGAGAAGCATGAAGTCGGCATTCGTATTGCCGGCCATTGAAACAAACATGCGCACTCGGCTTTGCTTGAGCCCTAGAGAAGAAATCCCAGGGAGTTCTATGGAACAGCTTCGCCCTCTCCAATCTTCGAAACGTGAAGATGCTGAAAGACACATGGCCGTTTATCGTTTGCGCAGCCATCTCCATGGCTGCTTTGGTGAAGGCGACGACCTCCTCCACGTTCTGAAATTCCTCTGTTGCACTATCTCATCCTTCATGAGGCCAGGAAACTAGTTGCGGCACTACTCGCCGGCCAGAGAAAGTAAATACGTGTCCCACCCGAAACCTGACGCTCTAAACTTATCAAGCAAAGTTTAGAGCCGTAAACCCTACACCATATATGCCCTGAGTCGTAACTTGTTGAATGAATTGCCATAAGGAAAGACTTGATAGCCACAAAAAATCAGAAAAAATTCAATCCTCCTCACCAAAAACAGATAGCACACGAAATAAAACAAACGATCACTCCTAAACCCTGAACCCTGGGCCCAGGTTCTATTTGGCAGCACAGGGTCACGCTTGGAAGTCTCTGGAGATCTCCCAAGCCAAGATGCCTCCAGAGTCCAGATGGTTCCCAAGTACCTTGAAACTACGTGGCTGGCATGTGGCTCTTGGCTCCTTTTCGATTCCTTGCTTTTAGGGCCATAGACCTTTATGGTTTCTTTTTCTGGCGATCCACCGAAAATCCACGTCTCGTTTACCACCTCAGGACAGTAGCGATTTAAAGGCCCGTTAAAGGCTTAATACAAGTTTTGGTTTTCAGGGTTTAGGATGTGTGGCAGGGCCAAGATTTTAGGCTTCAGGGTTTTTGGCCGCCCAAGCAGCTGCAGTAGCAGCGTTGATTTTGGGGGTCCGGGGTTCAGGATGTGGATCAGTTATGGTAGGATTTTAGGGTTTAGGCTGTTAGCATGTAGAGGTTCAGAGTTCGGCTCAGGCGCCTGGTGGATGTCGCCATGGGCCTTCGCTACCCATATCTCTGCACTGTTGCACGGCTTTCCTCGCGCCGCGAGATGCAGCTCCGAGCCGCAGCCCAGAGGTATCGGATGCTTGATCCAGCACCAGAACCAAAACCTGGGTTGCAGTTCGAAAGCCCCCTACATAATTCAGGACTAGGTACCAGTAATGTAGGGGCCTTAATGACTAGAATATGGCTTTGGGTATCTTATCCCATATTTGCAATAAGGAACCCCCCCCCCCCCCCAAAGATAGGAATAGCTCATTATCAAGGCCCCTATGGTACCAGTATAAGATCATGAAGGAACCTCGGGCACCCAGAGCGCCCAAGACCCCTTACTTAAGGACTATGCCTTAAATTACCTTGGGCTTTACATTATGATTTAAGCTCTGTTCCTTAATTAAGGGGTATTAGACTCCCCTAAACCCTAAACCCTAAAGATCCCTTATAGATCCCTTATAAAGGAACCCCTAGGGTATTCCTTAATGAAGGGGTATTTTGGGCTCTCTGGGAATTCAAACCCAGAGACTCCAATATCCCTTAATTAAGGAATATTCCTTAAATCATATTAAGCATCCTACTATAATTTAAGGTAGATTCCTTAATTAAGGGATATTAGAATCCCCTAAACCCTATAGATCCCTTAAAGGAACCCTATAGATCCCTTTAAGGAACCCTAAGGTATATTCCTTAGTCTCTGGGGTCTCTGGGAAGTGCCTCCGAGGAGCTCCTTCTTGCAGCTCCTGTAGACCCGGCATGGCACTCCACTACGGGCTATTCGACCCTAAAGATCCCTATTAGGACCCTTCTAAGGGTAGATTAAGGTACCCTTAAGGTCGAATAGCCCATCGTGGCTGAGGAGCCCAGCGATGGCGTTGCAAACTTGCGCAGCCGTTCCAGAAAAAATGTACTAAGCAAAAGCTCTAGCTGCATAACCGTAACCTCCTTTGAATTAAAACTAATCCTTACAGAAGTCATAACCCGACACCTCTGAACCCGAAAACAGCGCGGGGTGTTGAACAAAAGCAAGGTTTTCTTACTTGTGGGTCGCTTAGGTTGAGGATCCTACCATGCAAGGGCGACTATACCGTGAATCAAGGGTTTAGGGTTTGGCGTTTGGGGTTTAGGGTACAGAGTTGGGTGATGAAATAGACAGTATAACATAGCATAAAGCATGCCCGTTGTAATATACAGTAACATGTAACTGGCCGTTGCGGCTCCATGGACTCGTGGCTATCGTTTTGAGCATAGAGGCCGCGGCAATGCACTGGGATGACTTTGGCAAGAGACGCTCTCTGCTTAGCAATCCCTATTTTTATCTTGCCAAGACTGAATGAGTCAGAGACGACTCTCCGTGAGCCAGTTGTGTCGCCAAACAAACCCTAATCCCTGGACCCCGAATCCGAGGGTAATTAATAAGGACCCCTAGGTATATACCCTTAATATAGCTATTATATACCCATTATACAGCCCATTATAAGGTAGGGGTCCCCATTAAGAGTCCCTCCTTTTCCCCTTTGACTAAAGCTTGGGATGTAACTGCTGGGCTGCCCCAAACTCTCCCGTCATCAGGTTTAGGGTTTAGGGTTTTCGGAAACCATGAATGGTGCTGATGAGTTGCTTTTTGAACATTAAAGCACCAACACCGAAAAGGCTTAGGGTTTAGGGCACCTGCCTGTCAATCTCCTTTAGTACTACCTACACGGACTCGAGCTTTCACAGAATCAAAAGTTGTTCTGTGCATGTATGCTTGTGTTAACAGTAGTATTTGCTCAGTATGTTGGCATTGTCCTCGATGGTTTTTGTGGTTTAAAATCATCACTGTCGATTGGTTGTACGCCTGAACCGTAAGTCTCAAAGCCGAGGTTAAAGTGAGAGATCCGAATCCCGGAGCCATACTTCGACGCTAACATAGGGGCCTAAATGACTACGGAAACTAGTTTGGTGGTTCCTTATTATAAGTATAGTAGCAAGAGCTCCCAAACCCTGTTCTAATTATTAAGGCCCTTATATTACAGACTTCTGAGGGCTTCAGGCGTTGATTCATCAGGGCTGTGTTTCCCAGAGGGTCCAAGTACCCAAATAGTAGGGTTTTAGATCCCAAAATCCATACTCTGAATGGGGTTTTGGACCTTGAAACCCTACTATTTGGGTACTTGGACCCTTAGGGTTTTAGGTTTGACAGGTAGCTACGACCGCGCAGCGTGAAAACAAGACAACTCCGCTCCCAGCACCTGGACTCTACTTAGAGGCCCAGGGGACTTAGTAAGTAGTAAGGTTCCTTAAAGGGTTCCTGAAAGGGGATCAAAAAGGTTCTAAAAGGGATCTGCAAGGGTTCTATGAGGGGGATTAGGGTGTATACCCCACATCCTGAAAACCCTCAAAGAAGGAGTCACCTGAGCGTCTTGCAATGTTCGGATGGTAAATCTTGGTGAGAAAGCGAACCTGTGCGTCAGGACGACATAATCCATTCGGCTACAAGAAGTGGTAAGTAGAGATGTATATGGGCCTTACAAGGGATTTTGAACAAGCTTTGTTAGGGTTCAGGCTGTGGTGAGCGTCTAGGGGCTGAACCACAGGGTGTATGATAAAATAGGAAGCAATTGGGGCATAGGTAAGGTTTTATGGTAAACGCATTTAAGCTTGAAGGCTTAGCTTGTAGTATTCAACGCAATTTGAGGGTTCAGCGCTTCGAATCTGAGCTTGAAGATATACTTCAGTAAGGAGACCTGGAACATGCAAGGTTTGCTGGATTGAGAATCCAGCTCTCAGTGATAAATGCAAGTAGGGTCTAGGCCAAACCGGCATTGTTGACCAGATAGCTTTCGCTCACCATTGAAACTTCATGCGACGAGTATTCCGCGTCCGCGAGAAAGGCACCATTAACCCTAAACCCTATAAACCCTAATCCCTAAACCCTAGTATAAGGCACAGCCTCCGAAGATGAAGAATCGCAGTTGCTCTCAACGCAAAAAATAATCGCATACAAAGTTTATCAACCAAAAACAAACGGCCGCAGACGAGAAATTACTAATGAGTTGCAATGCAAGCTCTGAGTTCCTTGCGGCCTGTTGGCCTCTTTTCCGCCCCTTCGCTAGGCTTACGCCAACTGTCCCTATATGCCCCAATCTCTCTATTGCTAGCCGCATGTTTAATCAAATGCTCTGCTCCACTTCGTGTGTCAATTGCTCTTATCCTTTTCAAGTAGTTCGCGTGATCTCTTTTAAGCGGCTTGTGCTCCCGCTTCTGCTCCGGTACCTTTCGTGTGGGTTGCTTCTCACTTTCTCTCATGCTTTGGTGCTCAGAGAACCCAATACCCCTTAGTTAAGGAATATACCTTAAATTATAGAGGCTCTAATATTATGATTTAAGGTATATTCCTTAATTAAGGGGTATTGGGATCTCTGGGTGCTCTAGCCCTTTTCGAGCGGTCTGCTCCTGCTTGTTCCTACCCTAAACTCCTACACCCTAAACCCCAAATTCTTAAACCCTGAACCGTAAACCCGCCATTCCTAAACCCTAAACACCAAATTCCTAAACCCCAAACCCTAAACCCCAGTATTCCTAAACCCTAACACCCCAAATTCCTACAGCTTAAACCCTAAACCCCAATAGTCCAAAACCCTAAAACCCCAAATTCCTGCAGCCCAAACCCTAAACTCTAAACCCCAAACCCTAAACCCCAGCATTCCGAAACCCTAAAAACCCAAAAACTCCTAAAGCCTACAATTACCCAGCATCCTAAAAAAACCCAGTATTCCTAAACCCCTAAAACACCCTACAGGGAACTCCAGAAAGTTGGAATATGGTTTCATGGTAGGATACCCTATAATTTACCATAGAAGGGTTAGGATAATCATATTCCGACTTTCTGGCTTTTACCTTAACGCCCAGGAGACCTTTGGAGGCTCCATGGGATAGCCCTCCGGGAGGAAGAGCTCCAACTTGTAGGTTCCGCCTCTTTTCGCCACGGCTTGTTTGGTGCTTTGGAGGGTGGCTTTAAAGAGAGGTTGCCTCTTTTCCAGAGGGCAAAAGGATTATGTTTTAGGTATTAGGGTTCAGGGTTTAGGGGGTTTTCAAGAGGGCTTTAAGGATTATGGGTTTAGGGTTTTAGGTATTTGGGTTCAGGGTTTAGGGTTTAGGGTTCAGGGTTTAGGGGGGTTTGGGTTTTTCACCACGGCTTCTTTGGTGCTTTGGAGGGTGGCTTTAGTGGGAGGTTTCCTCGTTTCACCAAGAGTTTAGACACTTTGGGTTAAGGGTTTTAGGAATTTAGGGTGCCTTTTTGAGGGTGCCTTTGAAGGGCTCCCTTCTAAAGCTTCATGTACGGGTTCTATGAAAGGCTCAATAGAGGTCTTCTGGTTTGCGTTGAGGGTTTTACAATGCAAGTTTTTTTTGGTTTAGGCTTTCGGGGTTTTAGAGTTGGGGTAGGGTCTTGATTTTTTCGAGGTTTCGACGCTTTGGGCTTGTGATTTTCGCGTCTTCTCGATTCTTGAGCTAACTAATTTTGGGTGATTTACAGGGCTTAACTGGACTTAGTAGGAAGGGTTTGTGATCTAAAGGCTTTGATCAACGTTTTCGGTTTAGGCTCTAAAGTTTAGGACGGGGTTTAAGATTGAGGCAAGGTGCCTTTCACAACTCAACGAAGCGAGCCCCCACAGAAAGCTTGACCCAGCCTCGTTTGCTGAGAGCCGATCTAGGGCTTAGGGAAGAACCTTAGAAGGGCTTAGCAATTACTAACTGGGTTTAGGGTTTAGGGTTTAGGGTTACTAACTCAGGGATTGCTACCGTCAGTGCTAAGGTTTAGCTTCCCATGGGTGCGGGAGGAGCCATACGATTCAATGACACGCTGCCGGGCGGTCGGCGAATCACGGCTCCTCCTCTAATCCTAACCCTCAAACCTCATCAAACCTTAACCCGCAGCCCTGAACTTAAACTCCAAAATCAAACTCTGAACCCCAAGCCCAACACCCTAAATTAACCACTAAAGTAGGCTATAAACTTTCACGCAACCGCTTACCCAGTAGCAAATCCTTCTGTAATTGTCGTGCGGCAGAGGGAAAAGCTATAATTCGGGTACTTCTTTGTCGAATTGATTCAAAAAAAACCCTCAACCCCAAAAGCCCTAAACGTCCTACGCCCCCTAAATACTAAGCCCAGATCCCTGAGCCCAGAAGCCTCAACCCTACAGCACCCCTTTAGGCCTTCGTAGGAGGTTCCCGTAGGACCAGCCATGGCAATATGGAAGTAGCGGTAGTTCTCCTGCAACTTGCTGGTGCTTCCCGGGTTCTCTTAATTTAATTTGGGTTTGGGTTATAGCTGGTGCTTAGGGCTCTCATTTTTCTGGGTTCTTTTGGGCTGCAAAGGTTTAGGGGTTTGGTTTGAGGTTTAGGGTATACTTAGAGACGCTTAGGTTTTTGTTGTTTGGTGCTTCGGGTTCTCTTAGTTTGGGTTTGGGTTATAGGGTTTAGGGTTTTTGGTTTGGTGCTTAGGTTTTTCATGTGGTGCTTAGGGCTCTCATTCTTGTGGGTTTTTGCGTTCTAAGGGTTTAGGGGCTTTGGGGTTTAGGGGTTCTCTTTTTTGGGTTTTAGGGGTTTAGGGTTTAGGGGTTTTGGTTTGAGGTTTGGGTGTACTTAGAGACCCAGGGGACTTAGTACGTAGCGTGTACGTAGAGATATAAGCACCCTAAGTGGAGCTACCCCAAAGCTTAACCCTACATATAACCGACTTACTAAGTCTCCTGGGCTCCAAGCAGGGTTCT